GGGGCACATGATACTTTATTCCACCTACCATTTAGTAGGCTTAAATTTTAGCATGGTTACTCTGGTGCTGCACTGACAGAGTACTGAAGGGGGCTGACCATATAATCAGATCGAAACTAATGCAATAACTATAAAAGATTAACCAGGGTGATGATAGGAAGGGAGGCACTGAGAAGTGGTATGATGCCAGATTTATTTTCAAGCTTTTTAAATGTAAGATATGAGGGCAAGAGAGGAGTCCAGTGAGCTTGACAGTTTTTGCTTGAACAGTTGGGAAAACTAAGCTGCCATTAATTAAGATCGAGAAAGCCACTGAAAAAGCAGGGGTAGATTACAGAGGTGGCGTAGGCTGGATTGGCAAAGGGGAGCTTGGGGAAGAGCAAGCACTTAATTTTTGACATAATCTTGTGAAGTTTATAAAAATTCTAAGTGGAGGTGTCAGGGAGTGAGATATATGATTCTGGAATTTACAAGAATGATCTTTCCTGGAGATATAAAACTCTTACTCTTCGGCTTGTCAGTGGTAGTTGAAAACATAAGACTAAAGGGATCACTTAAGGTGAAATAGGGGAGAGAAGAGAGCAGGCTGAACTCTGGACCACTGCAGTCTTAAGAGTTTGAGTGGTTAAAAAGAACCTAGCAAAGAAGATAGATGATTAGAATGAAAAGCAGATCTACTAGATCTGGTTTCTGAAATGTTTTCAGAATGTAAAGATACTCCTGGATCAGTGGCTATATTCTGGCCAGTTGCTTTTGAAAAGTTACACTAGCTGGTTGGACTCCTACCATGCAAATTTTTTGCTATAGGAGACTGTTCTGTATCCCTTAGTACTTTTGTGTTTATTCCCTATCTATCCATATAATGTTTTGTCTTGAGACACTATTGAGAATATACATTAATGTCAGCTTTAGTGGGTAATCTAGTTACATAGGACCTGTATTAAATATGATAATTCACAATGGAGCAAGAAACAGTTGTTTCATTAAGCTGCAGAAATTACAGTTCTAGGATTTTTTTGTTACATTGTTTGAATATTGCCAGAGGTGACCAATCGCTTTCCCTTTGAGTATGGCTTTAACATATAACAGTGTCCACAGCCATTAGTATGTTGTTAAGTAGAGCGAAAACTGGTAAATTGATACAACATTCTAGAAGATAATTTAGCAGACGTACCTAAAGCCTTAAATTTTTATATACACATTCACAAAATAATGTGCAGAGATTTCTTTATGGAATTATTTATTATAGTGAAAAATTAAAAGCAATCTAAACAGAACAGTGTTATAAAAATAGGTTTTGGGGTATCTATTCAAAGTAATGTGACAGTCTTTAATGCTCACTATCATAGAAAATATCAAGTGAAATAGAAAAATAAAAAAGGGAGATATGTGAGCACCGTATATGAGGTATATACACAAATGATGAATATATTGTAAATGTTAAGGTTTATTCCTAGGTAGTGAAATTAGGGTGTGCTTCCTTTTTCTAACATTTTTGCTCTAAATATCCTAAAATGAACATATATTAATTTTTAAACAAGAAACATCAAATTTTAAAGAAGATAAAAATCATAGATCCTTCAGACATGACTGATGGTTATTTGCTTCTCAGTCTTTGCTCAATAATAAAATTGTAAAAGCAATTTAAAAGTTATTTGGACATAACAGCATCTCTAAAATAAATGAATAGCTTCCCAAGAGAGTAGTTGGAAAGACAACACTTACATGCATTTGGAAGTTCTGGGATTTTGGGGTGAGATTTGGAATGTATTTTAAGTAGAAGTATAATTTACATAGTAGAATACACAGATTTTAAGTATACAAGTTTTGACAAATATGTACATTTGTTTAAGCAGAATGCAAATCAGAATGCACTGGTATGTTGGGATGAAAAGAAAGATCATTTCTCTGTGGACATTATCATACCTTCAATAATTGCTTGACACAATTTAGAGGGTACTTTGTGTTGGTTGGCACTTGATCAGGTAGGTGCCTTGATCTCTGTCTCAGGGAATAGATGGGCCAAGTCAGATGCCCCGTAGTTGGGCCTTCAGTAATGGCGCCCAGTCTGTCCTGCTGGATTTGCAGGGTGTTGGGGTATTCCACTTACGGGAGGCTGAAACTCTTTCTCTTGCATCTGAAGAACCAGCACTTTCCAGGTGCCTGATGGCGAGTCCAGTAAGCAGATCTGTGCTCTAGCAGAGCCTATGGTAATTCCTATTGATCTTATGGTAATTTCTAGCAAGGAATTGCGGGTTGGATTCATTTGCTACCCTCTGTTTCCCTATTTCTCCTTGTTTATTTAAAAAATGAAAAAGGAAAAAGTTTGTCTTTTAATAACTTATATAACGTGTATACTTATAATCTGTGTGTTCTATTATGGTTTTTTTTTTTTTTTTTTTTTTT